TCGGGTAGGGCGGCAGGGCCGCGATCGTAAGGTCGGCCGCTAGGGCGGCTCGGTGAGAGAAAGGCCCGAGGCGCGACTCGGAAGGAGTGCGCTTCGGGCAGGAAAAAAAACGAGTGGTGGGCCCTAGGCGAAGTTCCTACAGGGGAACCTGCTCTATACCATGTGAAACTTTAAGGAACAGGAATGAATGAACTATGAATCTGTGAGTACAAGTACCAACCCTAATTGGGTTGTACCCCCTATGGGATACCCCACTATAGCCTACACAAAAGCATAAGCTATAAGTTCTGACATCTAGTGTCCCCAAGAAGTTGAACTTTCAGAGGCTGAAGAAGACCGCAACCTCTGGGGGCGAAGGTATGCGGAAGTCGGTTGAGCACGCGTTTTGTATGTGAAGGGGTTAAATTCTTTGTTTTATAACTACACACAACTATGTTTGTTGTTGTAGGAGTCTGAATAGAGTTTGTTATTGCTTTCCGCATACTATGCCATTTTTTGCCAGAGGAAACCGAGGGCATCGAGACCACTGAGGCGACACAACAGCGCGACTATCCTGATGCCGAAGATTCCGAATCGGCGCAGTCCGCGAGCAAGGGTGAGAGCGATGAGGGGCATGCTAAAACCAAGCCAACCGACCATGTTCATTCTGGAGCGATTAATGCATCAAAAGGGGGCAAAGATAAACCTCTTGAAGTGGAGGGTGATGACCCGCTGGTCGCCTTGCGTGCAACACCAGAGGGGTCACGAAACCCTTCCGAGGAGGTGCCCGTGTATGGCGCCGTGTTTGATAGTCTTAAGCGGGCGCAAGATGACAACGCTAAGACCGTGGCTCGTCTGGAAGAAATGTTGATGAAAGCCTTGGCACAGAGTCATGGTGGGTCATGTCACCGGAAAGTGGAGAAGCAGAGAGATCCCGGACTCGGGTGTGCCAACCCAAAACGTCGCCGTGTGGAGGCGCGCAGTGACGCTTCTGAAGGCGACGAGGACGACGAGAGTGATGATTCGCGCCGGCGCCATATGAGGTCTTCAAGGTCGCCTGTGCTGCAAAGCGCGCTTGCTCTGCTCCCTGCAGACAAGGCGTGAAAGGTGAGGCGTGCGATGTGTATGGTTGGTATCGTTTGGCTTGTGGTTTGTTGACGGTTTTTGTTATGTCATACGTGCGGTTGAGGAATGGGCAGACTCGATAATTGAGGTAAATTTTAGGGTGTTCATCATAAAATCGCTTTGGGTGTCCTATTTTCCCACGTTGTGTGCAGCGCATGTGCGACCTAGTCAGGGTGTACCTGTTTATGAGCAAGCCGTACGCAACGATGACGTTTTACCCGAGTAGCGACGACAAAACCGACGGGGTTTGTGCGGTTTTAGACCGTCTGCCCTACAGTTACGCGTGCCTGGCATTGGCTGCTGACAAGTCACGTCAAGCTGATTTGAACAAGACGTTGAGCGAGTGGAAGACCCGTGCTGTTGCGCGAGTTAGAGATATCGCCCTTCCAAAGCTCAGGTTGTTCCGTGACGAGATAGATGCTTCGAGCCCATGGGCATCGGAGAAGGAGCGCAGCGCAGAGAAGATCCGGGAACGCATAGGGCTGGCTGGTGAGGGAGAAGGTACGTGATGAGTCATTGTGCTGTGGTGACAGCAGTCGACATGTCATTGTCTTTACTAGTGTTAAACCTACTTCGGTTTGTGGTATGTGCAGAAACTCTTGCGCTGTCGAACTGGAGCAACGACCGCCAAGGCATGCCATTTGCATCCGCTGCTTTTGTCGCGTGCGCCAAGGTGACAAAAGTTAGAAGAAAGAAGAGGATTGAACTAGCAGGAATGAGGATACAAATAGCAAACCCTAGAAGGGTTGTACTCGCTATAGAGCACCCCACTACAGGCTAGAGCATAAGATAACATTCTGACACAAGGCTGCATTCAAGCCGAAGAAGCCAGGAGTTCCTCTCACGCTGAATGTGTACCACTTGGCCTGGCTCGAGCACGTGGTGAGTTTGAAGGCTTGGATAGTGTGGCGGTTTTTATCGCTTGTCGGGCTGGCTAAATTGGTTACATGGTTGTTGCAGGTCACGGATACTGTCATGTATTGGGAGGAGCACAAAGGCCGCCTTTCCAACTCTGCGGGTGGCAACGGCCACGTGGTCAATGGGCTCAAGGTGCTCGCCAAAGGAGCTGTTGAGAGGGCTATTAGGGTGTTCAATCCCGAATGGGATGCTGAGCGTCAGGCCTGGATTTGGGGCCGCCACGGTATGCTTATTTCGGTTAGTGAGCTCGAAGGGATGAGGCCTGCAGGCGGATCCCAAGCCGACGATCTCGGCTGTGACGAAGAGTTGTCCGCGTCCTTTGGTGATGAGTAGAGTAGCCATCGATTGGGCTTGTGCTGCAAGACGTATGGTACTTCGAGTGTCGTGGTTTTTTGCTGTTGTTTGGTTTCTGATGTACTGCAGGGTGGTTGTGGGTAGGGAGACACTTTAAGTGGGGTAGGTATGCGGAAAGTGTGGTGTTGTATGCGGTTTCTTGTACCAAATAGTGGGTTTGTTGCTGGAATAGTATTCATTTTCCCATGTCGCTCGTTTGGAAGTGGAGCTTATGCATGGAGAATTGGTAGTGGACGGTGTGGTACCGAGTATTGCCAGTATGGGCGGCGCGTGTCGCAGCGCGCCGTGATTTGCGGCAGCATTTTCGAAAATCACGGGGGTAGGTGGACAGCAGAATGTGGAGACTAAATCGCATACGTTAGGTAAATATCTGACCCCAATATTCAGCGGATGTGATGGAGAAGTGGATTTAGAAGGAGTCTTGTGATAGGTTTGAAATGTTGTGCGGATGACCAGATGTCTGCACAGGATTCGCTGGAATTGATGGAAAGGCGGTTTTTGTGTGGTTAGGGCTGTGAGTCGGTTCGTTATTCTATTGGTTTCGCTGACGTGGCGAAATGAGGACGGTCCACATGGTTTCGCGCTTGTGCTTGCGTTGTATGCGAAATGGTATCGTGGATTAGTAACGTATCGCACGAAAGCATGGGTGTGTGACACGTGCAGGGTCGTCGGAGCACGATGGGGGTAAGAATGGGCGGTCGCCATGCATTTGAACAGAGTATGGTTTCGGATGCGGTAACTGCCACGTGTCCTATGGGTGATGCATGCTGGGTGAAGGGATAAGCGGTTGAGGTATGAGTTGGCGGTGTTGGCGACGTTGGCGACATGAGGATTGCGAATATGTAACTCAGTGTGCGAGTTTGTAGTGAGACGACACTTGTAGTGACTGGATTGAGGTTTCGGCCTCTATTGAGGTGCTGTGTGATTGGTTCCAGTTAATGGTACGTGTCATGTAGTGGTGCGTTGTGGTGGTAGAGATGAATGGATGGGATGTGATGGTGTGATACTGGCAGGATGCCCGATTTTCATCGCGAGAAGGGGTTACGCATAGTGCGAGATTTTATGCTTGCGACACTTGTAGAGTCAGGATTGAGTTATAAGCACAAAGATCTTACGATGTGAGATGGCGTTCACTTGTCGAATTGATCGCCTACGTGGCGGCGGATGTTGAAGTAGTTCGCCACGTAGAGTTGCAGTACGAGTGGGGGCTCCTGTGATGCGTTTTTGCAGCTTGCAGGTGATGTCGTCGCGTCACTTGCACGTAGGATGGTGAGTAACTAGGCAAGCGACTTTGGGGATGGATTTGGAAACCGCATACGTGTAGTGGTTTCCATGTTATAAGTATCCACAAACTGCCCGTAAAGTGACGCATAAGTTGCTGAACAAATCACTCGTGCACCCACAATTTTGAACCTTGACTCTGTTCTTGCGTATTCCTCATAACCCTAGAGTTGTGGTTTCTTAACTTTAAAGTTTTTTTTTCGCACTTCCATTTTCCGCGATGTTGGTGGGATTTGTACATGGAAAGCGAGAGGACGACGGTAAAGCTCGCGGCTCAGAGGAGAGGAGAACACGACGATATGGCGAGTAGATATCTGGCGACGAGACCAGCTGATCTAGGGCGATGAAGCGAACAGATCTTAGGCGAGGAGGTGAACCACCGTGGTTAGACGACGAATTTTCCTAACAGTGACTGTTAGGCGAGGCGGCGCTTTGATATCTGGAAACATGAACAGGGCAGAACGCGACGGTGTGTTTGACTGCGCTGGTAATCCGTGGCCAACGCGGCCTAAATCGCTATTGCGATCGAGGTGTAGGTACCGGAAGCAGTTTTGATTTCGTGGCGACTATCGAGTGGGCTTTGTCAACCATTGTCGGGAGAGTTTTGGTCTACAACCCATCACGCGGGTCAAGTTATAATCTGGCGAACTTGTTTCGGCTGTTGGTTTGGCCACCCCCACCCCCCTCCCTCCTTCCGCCTCGACTTTCGTATCTCCGCAAAGGGGTACTTGGAGGGACTAGGTTACCCTGTTTTCAAGTGATAAATAGTAGCCTCCCGCTTGAGGTATGTAGACCGCAGCTTAAAAAAAAATACCTAGCAGTTACGGAGTGACCCCCCAAAAACCACTCTGATTTTCAGAGAAACAGAGTAAATTACACTGATAAAAAACCCCGAGGATATTGTGGGCCACTTGGGCCACTTCACCTCTTGGACCACTTGCAGTGGAAGATTCGCCAGCGTGGCGACAGCGAGATTGTGGGATTTGCCAGCGTGGCGACAGCGAGATTGTGGGATTCGCCAACATGGCGATAGCGAGATTGTGGGAGGGGGTATATCTCGGCTGATTCTAAGTGAAAGTACATGCGAAATTTCTTATAGGGAACGATTCTCGCGATATCCTCCCGTAAGGAATCGGACTCGATAACAGCTAGGAATCTATAAGAAAAGGGGGGTGTTATAGAGAATCACCCCAAAAGGGGGGGTATAGTACTAACGGGGTCGGATATAACACCCACCCCGTATAAGCTACCCGGGGGTGTAAAATTACGGGGGGGTGTTTTATCTGGGAGAATACGGTATAGGGCCCTGGAACCAAGCCTACAAGTTAGCACTGTAGGGTCCCTTATCCCAGTACACACCCTTCACTGTCCACCTCCCACCGGTCGTTCTGCATCACACCACACCACACCCCACCACACCCCACCATACCCCACAACACTGCGCCCAACTCCTCTGCCTAGCTCACTTGCCCTTGGCCTGAGTCTCCCCCTCCTGAGCCATGGAACCATGCCTTGCCCCGCCACAGCTTCGCCAGCAGAACCTGCGTCCCACCCGACCCTCGCATCTTGGCGGCAGCAGCAATCCTGCCATGCCACTCTCACGTGCTATTGGCCCGGCCCTCAGCTCCTTAGACCGGCGCCCCGGCCCCCCACAGCCTTGCCAGCAGCGCCCGTCACCCCAGTGGAACCTCGCATCTTGGCGGCAGGCAGCACCGTCCACCCAGCGCCTGGCCACTGCCCATCACTCCACCAGCACCCTCCCCGCAGCCCCTCTGCCCCACTCACTTGTGACTCTCAACCCCCTTAGAAATGTGCCCTGCCCCGCCCACAGCCTTGGCAGCAGCACCCCTTATTCCAGCAGACCCCCTCATCTTGGCAGCGGCAGCGATCCTGGCGTGCCACTTAGCCGTGTCCACCTCCCACCGCTCGTTGCGCCACACCAAAGGGGGAAGCCCGCCCTCCCCCGACTGGTAGTCGTACGTCACTGCGTGCGCTGCCTCGGGACTTGTGTCCCGCGGGCCGGCTGAGGGAGGGGGAGGGGGGGGAAGGGAAAGGAATGAGAGCTCCAAAGGCTGCAGGCCCGCCCTCCCCTGACCGGTAGTCGTTTGTCACGGCGTGCGCCGCCTCGGGGCTTGTGTCTCGCAGGCCAGCTGAGAGGATTGGAGAGTGGCAGACGAAAAATAAGGGGGGAGATGGGGGATGAGGAGAGCATTGCAGCCCGCCCGCCCTCCCCTGACTGGTAGTCATCCATCACCGCATGTGCCGCCTTGGGACTTGTACCCATCCACATCTACTTCTCCCAGCCTGGTCGACCCCCAACTAAACTAGAGAACCAGATCTAGGTCGACATTACACAGATCTGTTTCTCTCGACATTGTCAAGCATTCCTTACACTAGAATTCGCCAGTCACGCTACTAAACCTTCCTAGCTAAAATTAGGTTAAGGTGATTAAGATATCATGTCAACTCCTAGTCCCGCCGGTCATTCTGTTAGTCCCTCCACGCCTTCTGGAGATTTTCAGGATTTTCTGGATATTATGGAGTATTTATAACTATAGGTGACAAATGTTAACTTCTTGCATTCTAACCCCTGCGTATCCTTACTAGGCAGGTTTTTTTACCCCTGCCCGGACTAGCGTCAAGCGGGCGTCCAGGGCAGAGGGCACCGGGCGTCAAGCGTCTGGACGCCCCGTCCAGACGCCAGCGTAAAAAACGCCTGACGCGTCAAGCGCACCATAGCCCCTGACTGGTAGTCGTTCCTCCCACTGGTGGGCAAGGACAGTGCGACGACTGGAAGACCAAGGCCCAGCGCGAACGGAGGCAGGAAAGCAGGGAGGCAGGGAGCAGGCAAGTGGACGCAGCAGCAGTGGTGGAGGGAGATGAGAGAAGTGCGGGTCACCTTGGGTGGGGAGCAGTACAGAGTGACCAGTACAGGCGGCATGAGCGGTAGCGAGTGTGGATGGGGCTAGGAGAGAGGCACGTGGGTCACCTTCGGTGGGGAGCGGTGTGCGGCGGTTCTTGAGGATTTCAGGGCGTGGGATGACGGCCCCTGAAGCACTCCTGCCGGCTGCCACCCTCACCTTGGCTCCCTCCTCCGTGTACCGGATCGCCACCCGGCACGGCGCACTGTAGGGGGGCATGGAAGAGGTGAGAGAGGGCAAGGAGAGAGAGGAAACATGAAGATACACCCCCACATGAACACAATGGAGATGATTATTCCTCTGAACTCCCAGAATCAGAAGCACCCACCCAGCCCCCACAAGCCTCTCCTTGGTGCCCTCCTCCGTGTATCGGAATGCCGGCCGACATGGCGCACTAGCAGAGGATGGGGGGATGGGAGAGGGGAGAATGCGGAAAGGGAAAAAGAAATGAGAGTTAAGGGGAAGAGTGGAAACAAATGGAAAAGAATGAGAGGTAGATAAAGGAAGAAGGTAAAACAGAGGCTGTCTGTGTGGTGCTGGTTCTGCATACACGTGCTGCCACGCCACGCCACACCACGCCATGCCTTGCCATGCCATGCCATACCCAGTCTCCGGGTCGAGCAGCGAGAGGTTGGAGAGGTGGATGGGCGCCTCCACTGTGATCACTCCCCCGGGCGAGTCCGCTGCCTTCTTCACATGCTTCTTTGCCTGTTGCTCACCCATGCAAGGCATCATGAGGCACGGCAACGCAAGGCAAAGTCGGGCAGGCGAAGAGAACCAGATGGAGGGGAGGGGAGCAACACATGGCGAGCAATGGAGGAAGCGGTGGGTGCGGTGCCGGGTGACTACATGCCTGCACTGTGTTCACCCCGCCTGGCGAGTCCACTCACTTCTTCCACGCTTCTTCGCCTGTTGTGGGGACCGGGAGGGGGGGGGAGCAATAGAAGGAAGGAGGAAGGTGGAGGAAGGAGGAGGGGGCTGCGGGGAGGAGGGTGGTGAGCGTTGGAAAAAGAGGTTGTGGCTGTGTGCGCGCCTGCAGTGCACTGCTCGCCCTCCCCTCTCATCACTCCCTGCAGGAGAGGGGCACTGGGTGGGGGCATGAGTAGGAGAGAGGTGAGCGTGACATGTGCTGTGAGGTGAGCGTGACATGTGCTGTGAGGTGGGACCCGTGTGGTGATGCAGTGAGAGCCATGGGAGGGGCATGGCCACATCACGCCTGGGAGGGGCATGGCCACATCACGCCTGGGAGGGGCATGGCCACATCACGCCTGGGAGGGGCATGGCCACATCACGCCTGGAACAATCGTTAGTGATATGAGAGAGGCGAGGAAGAAACGGGTGTGGGGGGAGTAGGGAAGCAGGAGGGGGAAGGGACAAAAAGGGGGGGGGGGGGGGGGTCGGTCAGAGGAGGGACAGGAGCAGGGATGGGTGGGTGTGTGGGTGGTGAGATACGTGATGTGGGATGGCCCATGGGCTGAATGCGTTGTCTTAATGACATGCTTCTCCAAGCGTTCAGCAGCACCAGGGACAATGAGCCCCTGCGTTCAGCAGCACCAGGGACAATGAGCCCCTGCGTGGAACACTCATCCCACTCAACCTCTCCCTCTCTCCGCCCGTCCCTGCCTCCCTCACACGCCCAACACACCAAGCCTACCCACAGCTCCACCGTGGATAGCCTTCAACACTGCCCGGTCCCTGCCTGCTACAACGTACCACCCACTCCGCGTGCCCCATCACCCCTCCCCATCCCGTCCCACTCCACCCTCCCGCAAGGCGGTCGGAATCACCACATGAGAACCCCTCCTCCACACACCCTCGTCCCACCCACACCCCCCCCTTCTCGCCCCCCAACCATACTCACTCACACCTGTCTCCCGCCCCACTCCTTTGACTCACCCCGTTCAGCCCCTCAACCGCACGCACGTGCGCGCTCACTCTCTCTCTCTTCACAGCTCCTTAACCCCACCTGCTATAGCCCGCCCCACTTCACTTCCCTCCCTCCCCTCCTGCTCCCCCCACTCCCCATCACCCCACGCACCAGGTTCAACCCGTCAGCAGGTCCAGCCCCCCCCCCTATGACCCCACGCACGCATCCCTCCCCCACGCATCCCTCCCTCACGCATCCCTCCCCCACGCATCGCACCAGGTTGAGCGCCTCCACTCCACCACGACGCAGCACGGCCTGTGTGCCCTCTCACCCTGCTCGCAACAACCCAATTCACTGCAACCCCACCTACCCCACCCCCGTCCATCCCCCACGTATCGCACCAGGTTGAGCCCCTCCACCACGACGCGGTTCTTGTCCTTGAGCACGGCCGTCACCGTGCCCGTCTGCCCGCGGTCCTTGCCCGCCATCACCATCACCTGGGGGGGCAGAGGGAGGGGGGGAGCAAGGAGAAGGGCGCACAATTGGGGGAGGCAGGCAGGCAGGCATGGCAGGCAGGCACGCCGGCGGCCCAGCAGCATTGCGTGTGGGGGAAACAGTTGGAGGGGAGGGGGTGACGCCGCGCATCCCCTCCGCGCCGCTCACCTTGTCGCCGCGCAGTATTTTCCATGCACGGATCGCCGTTTGCGCCGGCTTCCACCCCATCGCGTCTCGTCGCCTCGCGTGCTCAGATTTTCCCTCGACAAGCCGAGAAAGCTGGCTCGACGGCGACGCGGGGGCAAACCCTAACCCGGACGAGCGAGTCCACTCTGGAACCGCAACGGCAGCAACGGATCGCGGATGAGCCGGCGGCACCGGCGATGAGAGATGAGAGAGATCGATCCGTAAGGCAGAAGAATCAGGTCAAGCGTAGTTGCGACGATGGAGTCGAGGTAACGACGAGCCGCGTGAGAAGCGGTGCGATAGAGCGCACGAGTGGATGGCGGGCGGAGGAGGACGGAGGATGGAACTGGGATTCGAGTGGTCGCTGGCGAGGAGGATGCGGCGGTGCGATCAGCCTTGCCCCCCAGAAGTCCGCGTTTCTCCAGAGTTGGCGCGGAAGGCACAAGCAGAACCACACGAGGAATTCTGTGATGCGAGTTCGCGTAATAGAGTAGGGCGTAGTTACATGTTGACACCAATCCTGTTCGTTCCAGTTTTGTTTATCTACTAAGAGTTTCAGTCGGTTTTGAGCACTCCACACATCCAGTAAAAGCACGGTATCAAGTGCGGGTCAATTGGTTGCGACATGCCGACTAGTATGAGAACACAAAATACACATAAAAACACGACCCAAGGACAGCAAGTTTAGAGAGCCATTATTCTACGAACCCGATCCGAGCCTTCTCCACACACAAAGACGTGTTGAGCTCGCGAGTCCTAACCTGGTACTGCCCCAGTCATAGCGCGCACTCGTGCTGCTTCCCGAGCTTGTAGGATTCCAGAGTTGTTTGCGCTGCGCTCAATGGCTTCCCGGCTTTTCGCCGCAGTGGCTCGGCGCGGTCGATCGTGCGGCGCGCTCCTGAGTCAGCAGCAGCAGCCTGCGCGGCTCGTTCAGGAGCGCGCGATGGTGCTCGGCGCGGACCACACGAGCAAGTGGATGCAGGTGCGACGAGGTTTAGATTCAGAGGGCGTTTTTTAGGGCACGGTCCCACATGCGACAACCATTCTTAGAGCATTTTTGCACTTCTGAGTCGACTCGAAAGCCATCGCAAGGTGATGTTGCGCGCGCTTGGCGGCGGCCACAGACAAGTGTATTTCAAGCCGTCTCAGGAATCACCAGCAGAGCAGGGCGCGATGGTGCTGGGTGTCAATCGTGCTGGGTGTCAATCGTGCTAGCAAGTGGATGGATCCAAGTGCGACGCTTGCACTTCGATTGCGCGTCCGATTCCTTTCCTTCGCACGTGCGACTCGCCGTGATACGCGATTACGACGGTAGCGCGCGACGGGGCATTGACGCCGAGCGACGTGGAGCGACAGAACAGGTCGCTCATGGCGTTTCCAAGTCCACGCCTCACACGCGCCGCCTTCCGCTCACTAGCGCCCGACGAGCGGCGTTCACGAATGTTTCATTATGCGCTCGAGGCGTCGCAAAAGTCATCGGCTGCTCGCATGCCACCTGCCGCTTACTAGTCTGACGAGCCTTCTCGCGTGTTGTCACTGTGTGTGGTGCAAATCCCCAAACATGACGAGCTAAGTGACCTCCAAGCGCTTTCAGTCTCTGTTGCGAGGGCAGGGCAACCATCGTCCATGGCGCTCATGACCCCATGGCGCTCATGACCCCATGGCGCTCATCAACCCCATGCGCCCATCACCGTGCATGCATCACTGTTCAACCCCCCTCTCGCCCTTCCCCTCTCTTCCCCTCCCTGCTCGGCCCCTCGTGCCCCCAGAGGGCAGAGCAGCCATTGCCCAGTGGAGCTCACTGACGCCGTGTTGCGCCGCCCATCACCATGCATGCATCACCGTGCATGCATCACCATGCATGCATCACCGTGCATGCATCACCATGCATGCATCACCGTGCATGCATCGCCATGCATGCATCGCCGTGCATGCATCACCGTGCATGCATCACCGTGCATGCATCACCGTGCATGCATCACCGTGCATGCATCACCGTGCATGCATCACTGTGCGCGCATTGACCTGTGTGTGTGTGCTGCGTCTCCCCATGCCTCCCTGTGCGCCATCAGAGGGTGGAGCAGGCGTCGCCCATGGAGCTCATCAACGCCGTGCCGCCCATCCTCGTGCACTCACGCGTTGTTGCCTGCAGGGGAGGTGCGTGGAAGGGACAAGTGAGAAGGTGGGTGGGGAGGATGGAGTGATGAAAGTGGAGAGAGAGGGGTTGGAGTGAGGAGGTGGGGAGAGGAAGGGGGGGCTGGAGTGGAGGAGGTGGGGGCAGGATGGGGGATTGGTCTTCAAGGTGGGAGTGGACAGGTGTGCGCAAGAGGAGCTGATGTCCTGCACTGCATGCCACCCACCGCATATCGCATTGCATTGCAGGCTGTAACCCATGCATGCGGGAATTCAAGCAAAGCGCCACCTGAACCATCCTTCCACCGTCCCTTAACGTCTTACCTCCCCACCTACCCTGCCTCCCCCATCCTCGCCTTTCCCCACTTCTCTCTCCCCCAGGCCGCAACCCCGCCCTGGGCCATCCAGTGGAGTGCATCAACGTGGATGCACCCCCACCCCCTTCCCCCCCCGCCCTTCCTTTTTCCCCCCTCCACCCTTTTCCCCCCACCACCCTTTTCCGTCCACCGCCTCCCTCTCTCTCCCCCCAGGTCCCATCCCCTCCTTGGGCCATCCAGTGGAGTACCCCAGGGGCAGGGACGCCCCTCAGCCCTCGCCCTGCTCATCAACATGCCCCCACCTCCCCTTCTCCCCTTCCCTCCTCGCCCCTCTTCTTTTATCAGGCCCCAACCCCGCGCTGGGCCATCCAGTGGAGTACATCAACGTGGACGCGCCTCAGCCCGCCGTCTGCAAGTACTGCGGCCTGCGCTACCTGCAGGACCACAGCCACTGACCGACCAAGCGTCAACACTGGAGAGTCAAGAGCGTGTGGGCGAGCGTCAAGAGTGAAGAGTGAAGGGTGAAGTGAAGACTGAAGTGCGTGGGCGAACACAGTTTGAAAAACTCAGTTGGTGCTGCAACTGGGGAGACTGCAGCAGCATGAACACCACATGGACTGTTAGGAGTGCACACTACTCAGTCAGGTCCCTAGATTCTTTTTGGGACACGCTGATCGATCAGCATGCACCCTTCTCTGAACTCTGTCTGTCAGAGTTGCCTCCAATTTTCAGGCTGAAAATTCAGACACTACGTTTTTTAGGCTGAACGTTCAGTTACACACAAAAGGCTGATCACTTCTATAGATTACTGAACAAACATCTCAACTATATGAGTCAGAGTCTGACTGATGACTCTCTACAGTAGCACGCTCAACTACTGGCTCCTCTGCAGGCTTCTTCCCAGCCCTTGGGGGCTCCATGTGTCTTGCAGCAGGTGCTGTGACTGGCCGGCGCTTCTTGCAGCAGGTGCTGGGGTACGCTTGCTGCCAGACGGGTTTCTTGAGTATTGCAGTCAGTCCCGTGTGGAACTTTCGCTCGCTCTTCGGAGCTCTGGCTAGGACTTGGCACAGAGTCCGCATCTCCTTCACAGCACGCTTCTTGAAATGCCTGCAAGGTAAGACAAGGCAGGGGATTAGTAAATGATGGGTTTTCAACGGTTGAACGTGTTAGAATACTAGGAAGGATGGTGGATTAGGTAAGGGGGAGGGGGTACAAGGATGTCGAGAGAGAGAGTTGGGTTGTACCCTCTAAGGTGTGACCCCTACACAACCTAGAGTAAGATGAACAGAACAATATGTTGTGACAAGGGCTTACTTTAGTGCCAGGGTCCGTCTGACGTTAAGACCGGGTCCTGGAGCCTTGTCTGATGTTCAGACGAAAGTTTTAGCCTAGTCTTATGTTTCAGACGAATCAAAACACTTGTCAGAGCCGTCAGACGGAATTAGATAGTTAATTTTATACGGTAGCTAGCAAATTTCCTAGCCTACGTAGTTTCTAGACTTAAAAGAATCTATCGACATCCTATTCAATTCTAAGAGGAATCACTAGCATTACTGCTTTCACTGTCATCACTACCACTGCCACTGTCATCACTACCACTGCCACTCTCAGAGGTTTCAACAATTGTGGCTCTGGGTTTGCCCTTCCTCCAGGTAGGGAGTTCCCATGCAGCTTCTTCTGCAGCCCTCTCTCTCTCCCTTGTTGCAGCCTCTTCTGCCTCTTTCCGTGCTCGTGTAGCTGCTTCTGCTGCTGCTGATGGTGCAGCGCGTTTCTTCAGGTGATGGGACCGCCGTCGCTTCACCGGGCGTGATCCTTCAGACATAACCACCTCACGAGCCGGCCGCCTTTTCTTGCTGGCATTCCACCTATCCACCAGCTCCTGTGTGTTCAGCTCGTAATCCAGAAGAGACACCGTCATCAGGTCGCCGAGTGTCGTGTCGCACAAGCTGCCACGCACCCAGCTTTTGATGATGTTCTGACGGCTGAAGCCGCGCTCACACTCAACAGTGCTGAGCGGTAGCACAGCAACAGCTATCCACAGGCGGCTGAGGTTCGGATAGGCTGACTCCCAATCCGGCGTTGAGAGCATCTGCGACAGGCTTTCATGGAAGGACAGGTCTTCGTGGTGAGTGGAGAGGATGGTGGTGAAGCTGGTGAGCTCCTTGGCGGCTTTGCCCCAGTCGACACCTGAGAGTGAGGGTAGGGTAGGGTGTGGGACATCGGTTATCACAAAAAAGAGTCCAGTTAAGGCACGGCAGCACTAACGGTTAGAGGAAGATACGCTGTTTTAAATGCAAACACTAACCAGGGAGGGTGTCTGGATGGTGGGGCTTCTTCTTAAATAGTTTGCGCAGCGACTCAAGACATTCGGGAAAACGACACGCTCTCTTAGCGCGCGAACACGGGTACCGTCCCTGCCGAAATAGACGGGCCCCGTCCAACGACTTGGGACTCGTGAAGCGATCCTCGATGAAGAACACGGTCCTCCCAACGAACTTAGATGCCGTCTCCACGCACGACGCCAGGTCGCCCCCAAACTTCTCCTTCCCGATTAGGTCCTTGTGCAGCAAGTAGGTGTGAGTCACGGGTGCT